AATCCATCTGATCCGAACCATGATGTTTACTATGATTTTATTGAATTTACAATCGACAATTCTGGATACCATGGGAATACAACACGTGTAGATGCATTTGGGTTTCCCCTTCAGCATCGTCTAGTAAGCCGAGCAGGAAATTTTGATCGAACTGTTGGCGAACTGGAGGGTGAGACACGAGATGATCTTTTTGCCAAATTTTTACGTGAAGTACCAGATGAGTTCAAGTCACTTGCTGAAATTCAAGCACCGTTGGTTACATGCAGAAATCACGTTTTGATTCTAGTAAACACCTTTCTCACAGAATGATTGATAATATAATTTCTGAAAAGTTCGTTATCGTATTGTCGCCCCAATCCATGGTTCTTTTGCTCCCGGCAAAAAGAACTCGCAGTATTTTGATGCATATTCGAATAACAAGTACACTACGCAGCAAATATTACTTTGTAATGGTCCACTTGCAGAACAGCCCGAAATATCATCCTCCCTCAACCGACACGTATTCCAAGGAAATACAAAGGATGTCAGTCAATACTATAAATCAGCACCCGCCAACTACTATTCAAAATTTTGGCACGATCACAGTATTGATGGGCTTGCCTATGGCTTTCCATACGACGATTATAACGGTCAAGCATCATACTTGGAAACAGGCGATCCGAAGGCTCTCATAATTCGCATAGGATGGAAAGGAAGTACTGGAGATAGTAGGTCAGATCCTGTCACCAAACCTATCACTTCCAGAGCTATCGCTCTTCGCTCGAACGCTAACGGCAAGTTTATATGTGCTGACAATGCTGGAAATGGCCCTTTAATTGCTAATCGTGATGCTCCATCTACTTGGGAAACGTTCGATCTTATCACCCTAAATGGAGACAATGTTGCTCTCAAGTCACATGCCAATGGGCAATATGTTTGCGCTGAAAATTCAGGAAACAGTCCTTTGATAGCAAATCGCACTTCAATCAGTTCTTGGGAAACTTTTCGAATCGTTGATCGTGGCAATGGAAAGGTAGCTTTTATTGCAGTCAATGGAAAATATGTATGTGCTGACAACTTTGGAAATAGTGAATTAATTGCTAACCGAACTACCGTCGATACTTGGGAAACTTTTGACCTGGTTCCACAGTGACATATTCCCAAGAACCGCTTCCAAACATTCATCCATGACTTGGTCTCTTTATAAAAAAAAAACTGTTTTTCTATGATTTCCTTTCGTACACTAACCATTGAAAGAACGTTGTCTTTGCTTATCTGACATCGGTCAAACTTGACACTAATGCATTATAGAAGATCATAATTCACTGATAAATACAGGCTTGCTGAATTAATCCCATATCATTGGTAGCAGATGAAAGAGTCTTCGCAGGAGTGTGCAATTATACTCCGTTAAGTGAATAATTATGAATTGGTCATTAAAATGCATTTTTTAAGTGAGAAATGCTAAAGTGACCATTAAGATGCATATTGATTCGTTTGTGAACCATTTTGACCGTTTTATGATCGCTAAGTTTATTTTTCGGAATTTTTAGTTGATTTAAATGTGTATAGTTTCTAAAAATTACACGATTTATTAGTCTTTGCATGCAAGGTTTCATATTCTACACAGAACTCAAGAATATAGTTCGAGATTCAAGCAATAAGAGCTGATGGCTTTTTGCGCTCATGATGAAGTCAAACTTAGGAGTAGTCAAATACAGTTAGTTTTTGTATGACTTTTAACAATGAATTGACAATTCTCAAATCGAGGAGACTCGTTATCTTCACGATACGCATCATGTTCAAGAGTATTTTCTTGAAGATCGAATGACTGTAATTGAAAATTGGATCATCTTTTTTTGAACACACTTGTGAAAAGGATTTACTGACAAAACTTCAATTTATACAGAAATTCGTTCTCATAAAAAGATTTTCAATTATATGCTGCCGAAATACGTCATTTTCAAGAATAGAATACGCTGTAAGAATCTCAAGGCAAAATTATATCACAATGCAACAAACATGATTCACGATGCAGCCAAGCTATGGTCATTTCTTCATCAAAACATCATTTTGTCTTTTCAATAATTTTCATTATGTTAACATACCTTGATTTCGGAAAAGTCATAATGTATATTGTAGAAAGAAAAAGTTTCGATGCCACATAATTGATTGTAACTTTCTTTACTTGCTTTTCGCCATTGAAAGTATCTTAAAGAAAAATTTTATAGAAAATATTGTGTTTTTCGTTAGCTACTTTGGCCATGGTGATTTTCTAGTGCTTTTTAAATGTGTGATTAGTCCGTCTACTTACACTAAATAGATTAACTCTTCAGCTTAACTCATTTGTATGTCATGCCTTTTCTCAGTTAACAGCAACGCTCGACTCAAATCTCTAGTAGTGGGGCTTATCATTTTCTTTATAACTAGCATAAACTGAGACCATTCGAAAAATGAATAATCTATAAACATCGTTTGCTTCATGTTGTGATATCTTTTAAGATTCTTTCGTTGTCATATTCAAAATTCATGAATATCTAGTGTATTTTAAAATACGAAGCGAATAAATGTCAATACAAGTACATGTTTTTATTTTCTATAAGTAGTAAGTAACGGTACATCAGAAGTTTCAGTTGAAATATACGTCTTGAAAATAAATGGTCGCAGTCGATATCCTGAAATATCACTTATATAAAAACATACTTTCAGAGAGATCACTATATATTCTGATAGCTTTCGGAGTTCTCTATCACACTATATAATTGCATTCTGTTTTCAATGGGTATTCTTTTCAGTCACACTCATGCCATACCTGCAGCTTTTCGACTATCAAAACGAGTAGAATTGATTTGCTGACAAGAAATAATTCAAGCGTGCGCCTTTGATGATAGGTACATTGTACCTCTCAACAACTCTATTTATACTACCTCACAAGTGTTCATCGTTCATTAAACAAATACATGCATTGAACAATTACATGATATGGTGTATACCCCATTGAATAAATATCTATATTAATTTTGATTTATTCTAACTAAAACTCAACAGGAATCTCTTATTAGAAGGGCTCAAATGTAGAGTAATCATTGTGTCAATAATCATCATTTATATTATTTAGCACTTTGACTATATATTCTGCAACAACAAGTCGTATGGAAATGATCAAATACGATCACTGGTACGATTTCTCATATTTTAACAATAATGACCTAGATTTTAATAATTTTAGATGAAAATTGTTGTTGTGTATTGAGCTAAGTGATTTGAAATGGAGAAAGAAAAATTGTTGATTCAAGAATTGAAAGAAGCAGTACAAAAGATGTTGTACTGGAGATTTCAAAAATTATTTTTAGTACAGCACTAACCTGGATATATTTGTTATTATAATTTTACATGCGATCTAACTTAAAAGATGAGGTTTCATGAATGTCAAGATTCATATTCTTATAATTTTTCATTATCAGACTTTGACCTTTTTTTGTTGTTGTTGTGTCAGCATGTCGACAAGCAGCATATCGCATTTGTTCTTATCACTTTGCTTTGAAAAAGGTAGAGTTTAGTAGTTACATTTGTTTTTTTTTCATAGTGTAGAACTATGTGGCTAACTCTCACATTGGTTGGTCTATGCATTTATTTTTTCTACCATTTAATCCAATTCTGGATAATCAAGCCATGGCGTGTACATAGAGATTTATCGTTTCAAGGTGTACCAGGAAGATATATACCGATTGTGGGAGACATTCTTCGTATTCGACAAGCCATTCTCGCAGAAAAACCATTATCGTATTCTATTGAAGCTGCAAAAGAATTCGGCGACTATTATCGCATGTCACTAGGTCCGATTCCAGGTTTCAATATTAGTGACCCATCATTGATTGTTGGCGTATTAAAAACTAATGCTCATGCTTACCGAAAGTCAATTTTTATGCAATCAATTATTGGGACATTGATCGGTACTGATAATCTTCTAATAAGTGAAAATGAAACACATGCTCAATGTCGCCGATTGATAAGTCCCGTATTTCAACATCAAAATCTTAATTCAATGATACCAATGATGATCGAAATAACATCAAATGTTCTCGATAAATGGGCACAATGCGTCGATACAACTGAAAACAAGATGGCCATTATTGATGTTCGTCAAGAAATGGCATTTCTAACATTGAGTATGATATCTGGTTGTGTATTTGGAAAAAGTATTTCAAAAGATAAAGATATACATGAAAAGATGTATCGCAATGTAACAGTCGTACTTAATGAACTTGAACAACGGCTTTTTCATATGATCGCTATTCTTCCATTGATCAATCGATTACCACTTCCAAGTAAACGGCGTATTGACAAATCAATGCAAAATCTTCGTACAATTGTCGAATCTATCATTAATGAACGAAAGAAGGGCTTGACAAAATCAACTGCAAAAGGTTTTCAATATAATTTTAGTTTTTTTGTGTTTTTGTCTTTTCTCTACTCTAATTGAAACTTTAGGGCCTGATTTACTCGATCAACTATTGACAAGTCATGGACAGAATCAAACAAATCAGGCTACTGTTGAAAAAATTTACGAAGAAGCATTAACATTCAGTAAGATATGATTTTCATAATCGTAGAAAATAAAAAGCCTATCATGATTTCTATTTGAAGTCATTGCCGGTCATGAGACTACATCGAACTTAATGGTATGGACTTTATACAATTTGGCATGTCATCCTGAAGTTTATCGTCGTTGTCAAAATGAAATTGATTCAGTTTTAAATAATGACGATGCAATAGATTCTTCAACAATTTCCCTTCTCAATTACACAGAAGCAGTATTAAAAGAATCATTACGACTTTATCCATCAATACCTCTGTTACCTCGTACTGCAATTAAAGATAATACTCTTGTAACAAGTGATGGAAAACATATTCGGATTAGCAAAGGAACTGAAGTTATTGTCAATTTGTATATGCTTCATCAGTAAGATTAAATACATATATTGATCGATAGGTTTTATATATTTTTTTGTATAAAAATACAGTTCAGAAAGTCATTGGTCGGATCCGGAAAAATTCGATCCATCTCGATTTGATCAACATCAATCAGAGAAATTTTTGCCATTTTCAATCGGTTTTCGTTCTTGTATTGGGCAACATTTTGCTATGTTAGAAGCTAAAATCATGTTATCAATGATTATTCGACGATTTCATATCGAACTTATACCTGGGCAAAAATATGTACCAGATATTGCCATCACATTAAGGTGATTTTTTGTCACACAGATTTTTTTCTTTCTCTATTGGTACTTTTTTTTTTAAATTTCAGACCTAAATATGAAATGTGGATGCAAATATTACTACGATGATATCAGCATTCAATTTATTCAATACAGCAAAATCAAGTTGAGGACTTGATCAATTTTAAAAATCAATGAAGTAATAAAATCAACACTAAGACTAATACATGATTCGTTTCTATGACAATTAGCAAAGCTTAACTTCATTTACACTTCGTACTGGACGACAATACGAAGTCAAGACAAAGTTGAACCACACTAGAATTAAATCAGTTCTTTGTTTTTAATAAAATCAGTAGACAATCTCTTTCAAGGAAGAAAGTGATATGTCAGCTATCTGGATCTATATGAGTTCTTTTTATCTGTTGTGGGTTTGTGAGAAACAAGAAAGAAGTCAATAAATATTTGCTTTGTCTACCATCTCATTGAACTTAATCGATAAGACTAGTGTTAAAAAGAGTCGAAAATTCTTTGTTCAAATGTAAACAAGATGAATCACTCAATTCATTGATCTCACGTTGACTTGAATTCACAAGAATTGAAATTGAGCGAAAGAAATCAACACTGATTAATCAGACCGATGGATTTGATTGAGTATTGCTCAACATCGTTTTAAACTGCATTATGTTTCATAAACTAAGCCAAGATTCGTTTTGAGTGGGAATAAAGATTTTCTGTTCATTGACACCAAGATTTACATTCTGATGACTTGTTAGTCGTTTGAAACGTGTTATACCAACATTAGACTACACGCAAGGCTTGTACCAAGTTTTTGTAGGATAAGGTTAGATGTTGTAATCAAGTTTATATTCGATGAGCGACTCAAGATCTCCAAGTAATAAATTTTCTTACTACGAGCTTTGAAATTTGAGGTAGTTTTGACAGTTTTTTCTGTATTTCACAATAAGTCAACTTTTTCTATTAAAGATACCACAAGATATCTTGACGTTGAGATTGTTTCAGTTAAATTTTGCTGGTCAAAGAGGAATAATTTGCAAGAAATATGTGATTCGATGTCAAATTGAAGGAAATCAACCAAGTAAAATCTATCTGGTTAATTTTTCAGTTGTGACTTCGACTGACACATCAACGTCTGTATGATTGCAAAATCATTAATGCCATTTATCTTCATCTATTCCATTGAAGGGATTGCAAAATCCATGATAAAAGTAGCTCAGATGACAAGAAGTACCGAGAAAAAAAATTTGCAGATAGTGACTAGAATTTTGAAACGTAAAGTATCAAAAACTATTCATGGATGTGATTGTTTAATCACTTAATTATAATTAAATTGAGGGTCGATTGAAAAAGTTAAAATTAATATTATTGGTTAAATGATTTGCCAGTACTTAAAATTAGCTTGTTCTATCATGTTTTCTTCAATGGAAGAAAACAAAATTTTAATTTCTTTCGAACGTTCAGATATTCACTAATTTATTCATTGAACAGCTACTATTCAGTGTCAGGTGTTTTGATAAAATGCTACGCCTGATAATACAATTCTGTGAAGTTCATCTCTGCGCTTTGTCTCTTATTTGTACTGACAAAAAAAGAAAGATATGACAAAATTCCGTAAATTTCAACGACAACAAGTCAAAGACACTCGATAACAAAGTACAGCAACTTTGGCGTTCGAAACTATGTATCAACAAGTTACCTGACGATGATTTTTCAACATTTTTTGCATTGGAAGGTTCATCTTTGATTTTCACGTAGTTGTTCAATCATTATCAATTTGATTGGAATCCACATGATAAACTCAATATACTAGAGTTTTTAGCAGTGTCAACCATTGCTCAATATGTTCGCTTACCCTCAATAAACACTAACAAGGAGACAGAGTTTGCTTGTGTAAGGCTAGATAATGCTCTTCAAAGTTATATGCAAACTGAATCTTCAATGAATTTTGCCTAAACCATATCTGTTTTCACTTTAGGTCCTGCTTCATTTGCTCGAGAAAAGGTTTAGTTAGATGAATGAAATGACATTGTTTCTATTCCATTGAGTAAAAACAATACTCGGTTAGTATTCATTGTATCACCAGTTGCATTACTTTCTATTCGACACTTTAATCAAGCATTCACACTTCTCATCAACAAGTATACAATATTATGCGCCTGTTTAACAGTGACATTAGATGATAATAAATTATATTAACGAGTCGTATCTGTCGATGAGCAGATTATGCCTTTGATAAAAGTAAGTAAGATCAAGACTGTAGAAGCTATAGTTTTGGATGAAGAAATCAATAGAAATCATTTTGATCTTAAAACAGGACGGGTATTTCGCTGTCATGTTATTGATAGAAGTAAGCACAACGAAGAAGATCTTCTCACCGATGGAGACATACTTCTATTCAACTTTCATTTTTTTTATCTTTGACGATTCCAGAAAGAAGATTTTTCTAATCGATTTAAGACAAGCTTATTCAACAAGCATGCTTGACATTAATAAGAATTATACACCTAGTTATATCGATTATGCGTTGTGGGAAAGAAATATTAACAATGAGCATTTCTTATTAGAATTATATGTCTGAAAGACAACATTCAGAGATTATGAAAATCATTTGCAACTACCAAGGGGGAACAAACTGATTACTTGATTACTTGATTACTGGTGATTACGAATGATTACCAGTGGTTACTAGTGATTGCAAATTGATTACCGCTGATTTCTGGTGACTTTTCGTACTTCCCAACAACTTCAGTTTTTCTCTGTATCATTTATAGATTTCTTTTGATTCAATTACTATCATCATACT